ATTCTAGAACCCTTATAGTAGCCCTTACAGTGTTTTAGGGGTTAGGGTTTAGGGTTTAGGGTATCCCTTTCAAAGGAACCCAATTCTAATGCTTAAAAGACCCCTACATTAAGACCCCCCAAAAGGCTCTCCCCTCACTTTTAAGGCCCTTACAGCACTTTTATAGAATCCCTATAGTAGCCCTTAGAGTATCCCTTTTGAGGAACCCTTTGAAGGAACCCAGAGAACCCAATATCCCTTAATTAAGGAATATACCTTTAATTATAGGGGCCTTAATATTATGATTTAAGGTATATTCCTTAAACCCCTAAACCCTAAACCCTAAACCCTAAACCCTTAATTAAGGGGTATTGGGTTCTCTAGGAACCCAAAGGCTCTCCTCTCCTCACCGGCCCTCCGAGAGTGCCAAGGCGAGGGCGCCGACTCCAAGCCGGCGCTGGCGCTGAAAGCCAAGATTCACGGCTACCTCGACGAGGTGGGCTTTTTCTTACAACTCGGAGAATAAGGGGTACCTTATTTTGGGTTTAGGGTTTAGGTTTTAGGGTTTAGGGGGTTTAGGGTTTAGGGGTACCTTATTTGTGGCCCTTACAATAAGGATCCTACTATTTAGGTTACCTCGACGAGGTGAGTTTTCTTACATATGGGTGGTTCTCTAAATGAGGGTCCCTTTTGGGGTCCTTGTTATAGGGGTGCATGTTCTTAGATATGAAAGTTTGCGGAAATTAGGGTACCCTATTTGGGGCCCTTACAATAAGGATCCTACTCTTCAGGTTACCTCGACGAGGTGCCTTTTTTTCACATAAGGGGCCCATGATGCACAGGGCTTTGGGTTTAGGGTTTAGGGTTACCTCGACGAGGTGCCTTTTCTCACATACTTAGTAGCTGAGTGGGTAACCTTTAACTTTTTGGGGTTTATAGAACCCTACCATTCGGTCACCTCGACGAGGTGCTTTTTTTTCACACCACGGTTTAGGGTCTAGGGTTTAGGGTTTAAGGCTTTGGGTTTAGGGTTTAGGGTTACCTCGACGAGGTGTTTTTTCTTATATATGGGAGTTTTCCGAAAATTGGGGTACCTTATGTGGGGCCGGGTTGCACAGGGTTCTTCAAAAAGGGCTATGAGGGGGGGGGTCTTTTAGGGAGGGTATCATTACTGTAGGAGTTTGCGCTTTCGTGTTTGCAGGCCTTAGATTTACATGTTGTTAGCGGTTTGTGTCGACAAGGTTTGTATAAGGTGTTTTGGACTTCTCGGGTTTTAGATGGGTATTGGAATATTAGGCTCCCACGGCGAGGCCCTCTGGTGCATGTTTATCACTGAGACCATTGGCAATATATTGCGACAGCTACCCTTGATAGACTTGTTGTCCTGACTGTTTTTGCTGGAACTTAATGGGGATGGTTTGCGTCTTGAAGGAATGTTGGGGCTTTCTTTTGGCCAAACTAGAGAGAATCCAAAAGCGGACATTGTCACACAATAAGCTCATGCATTACAAAATTGCCAGGCAATACGTAGTTCTGTCACTTTGCTGCAGACATGTCACCCGAGCGCCTAAAGTCAACAGCCCTACAACTCTAGAACCCCAACCCAGAAATTTCCAAACCGCTGCATCCTACTCCGTAATTCCGAGGCTTATGCAGGACTTAAGGTTCCCGTTACTACAAGCCTGACCTGAATACTTACTGAACTCCTTCCTTACTTAGGCTTTCATACGGTTGATGGACAAAATCCTGCATGACCTTATATACCTAAACTATGGGATTTATGGTACTATACTATATTTGGGTCATGCAGGATTTTGTCCATCAACAGTATTGTGGTTGCTCTGTAACACACGCGCCCTAGCCCTGCTCTCATCTCCAGACCCCCGAATCGCGAAGGCCCCTATACCGAACACTTATGGTAAACCCCTAAACCCTAAACCCTTGGCGAGCCCCTCAACCAGAAACTCTTAAAAGGAACCCTACTCTAGTCCGTTATCACAAACCGCCCGAAAAGCGCTAGAGACAAATCGCAAAGGCTCTCGGTTAAGCACACATCTCCCCTTCAACAGGAACCCTCAAAGGGAACCTAAACCATAAACCCCAAACCCCAATAAACCCTAAACCCCAAACCCGAATCTTAAAGGGAACCTAAGCCATCAATCCTAAACCCTAATAAGCCCTAAACCCTAAACCCGAAAACTGCCACAGACCGAGAAGCTGAAAGCAGAGTTGGACTCCGGCGAGGCCCAACTCCTGCGACTCTAAAGCGATGCGGTACTTAAAAAAACATGGGACTTAGTAAGTAGGGTTATAACTAAGGTGACTATACTATTAAACCCCAATTCGGGGACTTAGTAAGTAGGGTTATAACTAAGGTAACTATACTTATAACGGACTTAGTAAGTAGGGTTATAACTAAGGTAACTATCCTTATAACCCCCCTTTTAGGGGACCCTTTAACCTTACTTACGAAGTCCCATGATCCTCCAAGTATCGGGGTGTCGGGGCTTCAGGCTTATGGGGCTTCTTCAGGGGATCTCTCCAGGATTCTAGTAGCGACATTTGGGCAGTTCTCTAATGTAGGGTCCCATTTTACGCCCCTGTGTACACATGTGTTGCTGATGCCGAAGAGTTGCAGCAACCTGACGTTCACCACTCTGGCCTGCTCTGCTAGCGTGCAGGCAGCTTCGGGCAGAATGACTTGAGATACTGCTGATGGACAAAATCCTGCATGACCCATTATAAGGAATATACCATAATTCCCATAGTTTAAGGTCCTTAAGGTCATGCAGGATTTTGTCCATCAACAGTAGTAGTCTGAGCAATTGGCACAGGCTTTTCCTAAGAGTTCTACAGCCGGTTCTACGGGGTTCTATAGGGGTGCTAGGATGTATCAAAAGAACCTGAGTAATTAGAACTGCATTGTCGTATGTTGTGTACTAGAAGCATACAAATGCAAAATGATGTGTTTGAATAGAGTTCTGCTATGTTGTAGTATAATTCGCGGGCATGATATGAATTATGCTAGTACACACCTCTAGATTGCAAAGATTGCTGAATACCCCTTCTCCAAGAACATTCTTCAGTCATAGTTGGAACAAAAGCATGAGACACATTCGCAATGGGCACATTTGGCTCTGCCCGAGATCGTCGGGCGTAAACCGTTTCAGGCGTCGAAAGCCCCGGACAGCCACATGCCAGCCTGCGCCTAAGAGGATGTTGTTCAAGTGTTCTAGTGGGGCCCATGACAGGACTGCAATCCAAGTTTTTCTAGTTATTCAGGCATTCCGTAACGCTGTGGTGCTGCTCGGGGCTGCCAACTTGAGAGGCTCTGTGAGGTGGATCTTAAACAGCTGCATTGGAGGGATCCCAGTGCAAAATGCCTGAAAGACTGAAGACATCAACAGCATTTTTCTTTACGTGTTGGCAATCAAGCGTGAAGGAGCACATGAATCCCCGGCCTCAACTCTTCCCCAGCTGCAGTTGCATTGCCCCTAACCCTAAACCCTAAACCCAAAAAGCTCAATAAGCTTTTGAGAAGCACACACCGTCAGTCCTCCAAAGCCTCAAATTACCAACATTACCCCCAAATTGCCAAAACTAGTCCTTAGGGTTCCTTCTGTTTCCAATGCCACGAGTGTAAGCCAAAGCCGCTGTTTCAGTTCATAAGGCCGCCACACCAAACCAAAGGCCTCTAAACCCCTGACCACGAAACACGAAAGCCCTACTTAAAGGATCATGGGACTTAGTAAGTAGGGTTATAACTAAGGTAACAATACTTATAACCCCAATTAGGGGACTTATAACCTTGGCCAGCGGTGGCTTATAACCTTACTTACTAAGTCCCATGATCCTCCAAGTAAGACCCTAAAAGCTCCGACCTATGTCGGACTGGAGACACCGCAGCGCACGGTCCAGGCACAGCTGAAAGAACACAAGAACGCGGTGGTGCGACACCCTCTTGAAATGTGTCAAAAATTAGTATGACTGAAGTACCGATAGCGCTGAATTTCAGATTCCCCTGATTCTGTCAGTAGAGCCTAGGCCCGCAATCTAAACAAAACACACCCAAATCATAAACCCGTACATCCGAAGCCTAAACCAACGCTGTAGCCGGATGAAACCCTTATACAAGAAGTTGAAAGCCCCACCCAACACAAATGCTCTATAGTAGTTAAGACCCGTAGCCTGCGGGCATGAGGCTCTCGAGGACGATGTGGAGGGCTGCCTCGGGTCTGAGCCTCAGTGAACCCAAAAAGGGTTTAGAGTTTAGGGTTTCGGGGCAACAGTTTAAGGTTGAGGCTTTCGGTGGTTTGTGAGGGTAGCCCTCACTGTAATCTGAGGTAGCGGTTTTGTGGGTTGTATGAACAGGTTTAGGGCGCTTCTTAGCGGAGTCAGGGTTTGGGTTTGGGACCCAATCCTGAACCCCAAGACCCCCGACACCAAAATCTGAATCCCAAAATCCTAAACCATAAAACCTTACAAGCCTATAGGGGCCTAAATAATTCCCAAAATTAGCTTGGGGGTTCCATAGTATAACTATAGTATAATACACCCCCAAACCTTTTCTAATTATTAAGGCCCCGAAATTGTATGCAAGAACCCGGACATCCGAGCCAGCTCAAGACCAACACCCGCGATGATAGCTTTCCCCTTGCTTTGAACCCCACACCCAAACCCGTGGCTCCACCTACAAAACTACATAGTTGATGTGGGAAACCATACAAGAAAGACTGTTTGAAGAACAAGAACATCTAAAACACCCAAACCGAACAAACATTGCTATGATGGTAACCTTAATCAGAAACATAAACCCTAAACCCCTAAACCCTAAACCCCTAAACCCCTAAATCCTAAACCCTATACCCTGTACCCTATACCCTCAACACCTAAACCCTAAACCCCTAAGCCCCTAAACCCCCATACCCTACATACCCGAAACCCCTGGAATTCAGAGGGCCTTCGGCCGGAAGCCCCAAAAAAGAGCTTCAGGCGCGGTGAGGATCTCATCATCGCTGGGCAGAGACTTGCGGCTTGCTTGCATCGTAGGGTTTAGGGCTTAGGAGTTTAGAGGTAGGGGATCTGTTCGGACCAACCCGTGCCAGGAAAACGTGAACAGAGGCAGAAAGCAGCTTAAAAAAGCGTTACGAAGCCCCATAGAAGGCTCCAAAAACCGTTCACATGGCCTTAAAAAGGATCTGTTCAAGCAAGACTGAACTCCAAACCTCGAAGCATGCAGCCCCCGAACCTCCCGATCCGGAGGAGAAGGCCTGGGCAAGTCTGTAGCTACGGTTTAGGGTTTAGGGTTTAGATGGCCCATGGGAGAACTTTGTTTTTTTTGGTCCCAGATAGTAGGCCAATCTTGACAAGTCTGAACTTGTTGTTGGCCTGGTTGTTGAAGAAGAAAGTACTTGGAGGTTCATGGGTAGTTAGAAGTGGAGTTATAAGTCCCCTAATATAGGTTATAACTACAGCTACCCTACTTATAACCCTACTTATAACCACCCATGAACCTCCAAGTAGGGTTTAGATGGCATTTGGGAGAACTTTAAACTTTTTGGCCCCATATATTAGGCCTGTTGTTGGCCTGGTGGTTGAAGAAGAAAGTAGTGCTGTAGAGATTCGGGGTTATGAGTTTTGGGGATGAGCGCTCTAAGTAGGGTTTTGGGATTAAGTGCGTTAGGGCTTTTGGTTCTGAAGGTCTAAACTTGTACAGTTAAGCTCTAACGCTTTGGGCTCAGAGTTCCTTAGAAGGGGGGGGGGTCTAGGGTTTCGGATACCTTTAGTGGCCACTCAGCCTTGCAGACCTCAACTGTAGACAATAATACTTACCGTTACTAGTAGTGTTATTACTACTATTAATTTGTCGTGCTATCACTATACCTGAGATAATTATTGCTCATATCCTCTTATACACCCCATGCTGTATAGTTTAAGTTCTCTCATAACCATCTCCTTTCATAGTGTATTGAATTATGCTACCCTAGACCCCAAACCAGTTCTAGCTTTTGAGGCCCATGCATTACCCCAACCCTTGTGTTCTTCGCCCGTCCCTTTTCAGACCTTGCAAAGACCTGCGAAGCCTTCAAGAGGATAGTACACCCTTAGAGTGTAGTAGTAAAGGGATTCGGAGCTACAACTAACGCCCTCGAAACTCTCAGCCAAACCCAGGCTGAGCGCGGCAAGCTGGGTCAGGCAGACGATGGGCTCGATGTCCACATTCTAGCCCTATTAGTCTCATTATGGCTTATGTCCTCATTATTATGATCAGTACTCGTGATCAGAACTTCTGTTGTCACTTTCATGTCTTGAAGCTGTCAGTCACTGCGTGTATCATTGCTGTGCTTGCTTGTGGAGCTGATGTGCTCTTCTTGCTATTCTTCTCATAGCTGTTGCTGCTATCTTGCGAGTTCATAGCACTTACTGAAGTCCATAAACCCTAAACCGTGAGTCCAGCCTCTTTTTCCGGGTGCCCAACAGAGCCCCGAGCTCAAACTCCCATGGATCTCAGGCCAGGAGGCTCCAGTCCGCTAGGGCTCGTACTGTTGATGGACAAAATCCTGCATTACCCATTATAAGGAATATACCATAATTCCCATAGTTTAAGGTCCTTAAGGTCATGTAGGATTTTGTCCATCAACAGTATTGGGTATTGGGGGGGCGGCCTTATAAGATAAGGGCTCTGCAAGGGTATAGTGTTTTGAATTTGGGGTGGGATCGGTACACTCCTTAATCAAGGGATCCTGAAGAACTCGCCATGCAGGGATCCGTAGTTTACTTGTCTTCAAGCCTCAAAAATTAAGTTTGTCGGTTTGCTCGAGCTTCTTCGCAGAATCTTAAGACGTTGACAACGCAAGGGGCATCCTGAAGAGGAGCGCACATCGAAGTGAGCGTGGGGATCCGTACAACAGAGGGGCCTTTTGATGATTACTCATACTATGTTGCGGGTTCCTTCTTATAGGTATAGCATAACATACCCCCAAAATCTTGTTCTAAAGATGACAGACCCTACATTCATGAAACAGCCTTAATAGTTATCAAGACTATTCCTTAAGGTTCCTTGTAGAATTAAGCGTCGAATACATTCCAAACCCCCTGTTGTGGTTCTTCATGCCCCGGCATTACTTGGAGGTTCCATGGGTAGTTATAAGTAGGGTTATAAGTAGGCTAACCATGGTTATAACCTATATTTGGGGACTTATAACTCCAGTTATAACTACCCATGAACCTCCAAGTAATCAATGCACAGGCATACGAGTCCTACTGCGAGGGGATCCAGCTGCTTCTCAAGGCTCCCCGCTCCGAAGCTTGACCACCAAAAAGGCACGTCAATCCGTAACCGAAGGACCGAAGGAATAGTAGCAGTAGTAGTCGTCGTCGTCCTAGTAGTAGTAGTGGTGGTGGTGGTGAGTAGTAGTAGTAGTAGTAGTAGTAGTAGTAGTAGTAGCAGCAATGGCAGTAGAAGCAGTAGAAGTAGTTGTAGTAGTACTAGTAGTAGTAGTAGTAGTAGTAGTAGTACTAGTACTAGTACTAGTAC